TGATCATTGCCTAGGCCATGGCACCCAGTTACGTGGTCAAACACTATTCTAGTCACATATTATTATATATTGCATTTCTGTGAGGGTGTTCTGGAATATGATTAATACTTCAGTCAGTGGACTTTGAGTAAAGCTGATTGCTTTCTGTAATGTGGGGGGGCCTCATCCAATCAGTTGAAGGCCTGAATAGAACAAAACCTGACCTCCCGCCATCGCGAGGGAATGCTGCCAGCAGGCGACCTTCTGAAGTGCAACATGGGCCCTTCCCTGGGTCTCCAGCCTGCTGGTCTATCCTACAGATTCTGGTCTTGCAGTCTCCATAATCGTGTGAACCAATTCCTTCAAAGAAATCTCTGTCTCAGTAGGAGGCTACACAGACGTACACACATGCGCACACACACACGTTTCTCTGGTGAACCCTAAGCAATACATTGACTCAGGTAATCATCTTATGGGAAATGCTATGAAAAAAAGAACCTAAGCACACATACAAGCTTATGTTAATCGTGGGACGATTGTGTGAAGAAGCAAATGCAACTATTATAATTCATAGCATTGAAGGTAATTTATTTACATTCATTAACTGCCTACAAGATAAGTACTGCAAATATAATAGCAAATAAGCCTGACCCAGCCCTGCCCTCTCATTGCTTATATTCTAATAGAAAAGTAAAACAGGACAAACAGAAAAAAAAAAAGTGCTGAATAGACAAATGATAAATAAAAACTGATGAAAGCGCTACGTAAAAACGAAAATGGGACTGACGGAGAGGGGCAGGAAAGGCCTCTCTGATGGTCAGGTCTAAACAGTGAGGACTTCCCTGAAACTTCAGGAAGGGGCAAAATTGAAGCTGAGGAAACAGCACAAACAGCCCTGAAATGAAAAACGGTTTAGACGCTTCACAGACCTGGACGATCAGTAGGTGGGGGACGTGCGATATGAGATGAAGCCTTAAGCATATTGGGAATTTGGCTCCAGAGATGACCATAGGGTGGGCAACACAGTACTGAGACCCCAACTCCTGCCCTTTGTCTCCACTCACCAACGGCAGATTCCCCCTGAAGATGGGCTGGGAGAGAAACGTCCTGTTCAAATGGACCCTAAGTGAAGAGGCTCATGGGGAAAACCTTCCTCACATTGCACACCAGCTGCAAGCAGAGCCTTCCCAAGCTACGTCCAGGCCTTCTGCCTGCTGTCTACTGGGTGAATCAATCCACAGAGAAACACTTACCAAATGTCAGTTGGACTTCAACAGGAAATTATACTAGGTTTTTAGAAAATTACAACAAATGCAACTGTTTGTAGTCAGCTTGGCTTGGCCTCTACAGAAGAGGTGCCCAGCATATAAGGCTCAACAAATCTTATGGAAAGTTACCTGGTGTAAATACCCGGGATTCATCGTCTTGTGTGGCGAAGATTTAGAACACAGACACACAGGAGGAGTTTAGGAGCAGAGGTTTAATAGGCAAAAGAAGGAGAAAGGAGAATAGTCTCTCTCTAGGGCGAGAGAAAGAGGGTTTCCCAAAGGGAAGACCGGGGCAAGGAGTGTGCAGGATTTTTTAGGCAGGCTTGAGGAGGCGGTGTCTGATTTATGTAGAGCTAACATAGGTTTACGTAGCATGGAAGGCTGGCCGCCCCACCGAATCTTATTACGCAAATAGACTTTCCACTTGACCGGTGCCATCTTGTCTGCTCCTTCCTGTACACGTGGCTGGCAAAGGGCAGGGGAGATGGAGCCGCCGTGTTGAACATGCCTAGTCCCGGTAGCTTTTTTCCTGCTGACCTTCACCCCTGGAAGCTTCCAGCTGGCTTGTCTATGTCTGCGGCTCAATCTTACAGGGTGATCTTTGTTAGAAAATGATTTTCGGGCTGCTTTTCATTAAAAAGGAAAACCCACTGAGGATTCCCATACCCTCACTATCTGTCTAAGCAGTTTCTTCTTAACGCCTGTGTCTTTAAGAGAGATATTATGAAGCTTAGTGTTATTAGAGTTTGTGAAATAACAGAGATAAAGGCTTTTGTGTGTATTGGTGTGAAGATATATAGAGAGAGAGAGAGAGAGAAAGAGAGAGAGAGATATATATATTCAGTTGTGCCTCCTGGAGTTTAACCCCTAGTCACTTTAACTGGTTGGTCTAGGCTGTTCCAAAAATTATCTTAACCACACATTTGCAAGCCATATTACAGATGATGTGATCTTACATGAGAAATGTTTCATTGGCAGAAAGAAGCCCTCTTTTTGTCTTTAAAGGCTCCTTTCTTTTCTCCTTTCATCTGTTGGTAAGTCTGAATTGTGTTTCTTGGAATAACTAGAGCAAATCTTGCAAAGCCTGGCTGAATTGTTGTTGGCCACAGGATTTGCTTCATGCAGTTTGGCTTTACTACTTCCCTGAAAAGCTGCCTTCTGTGGAGAAGGGCCACGCTAGTAACTGTGGCAGTTCACACACAAGTAACACATCACCAAAGGGCCACAGATGGCCCAATGGCTGACTTTAAAAGCTGGACAATTCACATGCCGAAATCCTTGGCTTCTGTTATTTGGGGAATTTGTGTGTTTGGTGGGGCGGGGGAGGGGTGGGCAGTACTGAGTTGTGAAGGGGTGGCCTGCCCCTCCACACCTGTGGGCGTTTCTCGTTAGGTGGAACGAGAGACTTGAGAAAAGAAATGAGACACAGAGACAAAGTATAGAGAAAGAAAAAGTGGGCCCAGGAGACCGGCGCTCAGCTTACAGAGGACCCACGCCGGCACCGGTCTCTCCGTTCCCTTAGTATTTATTGATAATTATCTTCACCGTCTTAAAGATAAGCGAGTGGCAGAACAATAGGATCATTTTAGGGAGAAAATTAGCAGTAAGACATATGGACAAAGATCTTTGTGACATGAATAAGTTCAAAGGAAAATGCTGTGCCTTGATATGCATATGCAAACATCTCCACAAACCTCTGAGCAGCATTGCGCCAGCAAGTCTCGCCAGCAAGTCCCACCTTATGGTAAGGCGGTTTTCTCCTATCTCAGTAAACAGAGCATACAATTGGGTCTCACACAGAGATGTTCCATTGCCCAGGACGGGCAGGATTTTTAACCAGCAAGCTGCCTTCAGGCACTTGTTTAACAAAGACACATCCTACACAGCCCAAAATCCATTAAACCTTGAGTCACCACAGCATGTGTCTCTTGCAAGGACAAGGTTGGGGGTAGGGTCACAGATTAACAGCCTCTCAAATACAGAACCAAATGGAGTCTCTTATGTCTACTTCTTTCTATATAGACACAGTAACAGGCTGATCTCTCTCTCTTTTCCCCACAGAATTGGTTTTATAATTTCTTCTGTAGAGGGCAAGCCAAAAAAGCCTAGAATGAATGAATGTAACTGTAAATGAATAAACAAATGTGTTTCCAAAAATAAATGATTCTTATATTAGATCATATTGTGAAAGATCTCCAAGTCCTTTTTATGAACTCCATGTATTGAGAAAAATAACTCCTTTCATTAGGTTCCCTCTCAGGGATACAGAACCTACAGACTGGGGGATGAGGAAACATTTAAGAAGCTCAGTATTTAACGTTTACTAGGAGCACGCACCTTTCTGAAGCGTACTGTCACACGTCTCCTTCAAATCTCCGTGGATCTTTTCCTCAGGTGAGTGACATTTTAGGTGGAAATCAAGGAAGAGGTGGAATTGTATGTCTGGACAGACGTCATGTGGACCAGGTTCAGCCTACATAAAAAATGATAGAGACCATAAACTTGGCACCTACAGCAAGTGGCCTGCTTGTTAGGCCTCTCATCTAGATCATAGAGACAGGAAATTCCAGTTGATATCTGGATTATACACACAGAATTCATTTGGCAATCACCCTCACAACTTCTGACCAGCAGCCAGACCAGGAAATACATTAGCACAGTACTCGCTTCCTGGGACGGACATAAAACTGCCCTGGAGGAGATAAGCTTTTAGGCCCTATAACTCCCGCTCCCACTTAGTGGTCATGCTCAGAACCACTTCTGTTGACTGATATGAAATCTCTTCATTACAATTTACTGGAAACAATCCCTAACTCCAAAAAGGGGGATCATTTTCCCAAAACCAAACCGCTTGATATTTTCCAAGCCAAGACTAGAAACCAGCTGTCCTGCCACCCATACACCCAATGCACGTTCCACCATCCTTGCTGCCTGGCTTTAACAAAAGAACCTGAAAATCAGAGTGGGATTTGAAGACTAGAAGAAAGCAAAACACGACTATCTGCCACCAGGACTGAGGTCTTGACACAGAAGGCCTGGAGAGGCTGCCATTATTCCCCGGTGAATTAAGAAAGACTTGCAACAGCTACCTCTTAAGACACGACAGAAGAGGAGCCACCCAAAGTGAGCGGGTCAGTGAGAAGAAGCTGCAGACAAAGGAAGCTCTGAGTGAAGACAAAAGGAAGAGGAACGAACCCAGCCACACAGTGACAAAGAAACCACAGGGTTTGGCAGGTGCCTGCCTGAACTTCTCTAAAGCAAATTAAAAATGTAGAGATGAATCTCTAAATTTAATATTTGGGAAGAAATAATTGCAATTCATGATATAGAGGCAGACAGGGTGGTCCGAAGAACAAAGAGAAGGGTGCAAAAAGAGGACTGTTCCGTGTGGTCCTGTGAGAAAGTTCTTTGATATTAGCAAAGTTTTGGGGGCTGGTGAGGTCTGATTGGTGGGTGACTGTGGTGGGCAAAACTAATCATTGGTTTGCAGTTGTTATCTCACCTGCTACAGATAAAAGTGGTCTCTGGTTATAACAGGCAGTTTCAGCCACGGGACTTGGAGAGAACAGCATTGCTAGGGAGGCGTTATGTACCCTGAGTGCCCTTTACTCAGACCCCTCCTCTCTGATTTAGTTGGGTATGACAAGAATGGCTCAATTTCTATAATCAACTTTCACAATCCTAACTCAAGAACTGTAGCATTGAGGGTAAGGGTGCATCATTTTCATAAACTCAGAGGAAAATGTGGCCGACGGCAGAGGTGAGTCCCAAGAGCTCAGCCTTGAGCTGCCTTTCATCTGCTCACCGTGTTCAGGGGTTCTCCTCAGGGTAAACATCTGCGATGAAAACCTCCGCAGGCCTCACCATCAGAGTCAAAGTGGGTCTTCTAGAAACCAACTTGCTTTCAAACAAAGCAGATCAAGTGATTATCTAATGTTCTAGAAATGTTTGAGGCACCTTAGGCAAATGTCAATCTTAAAGTTTTCCATTTGCCTTATTTCTCTAAATAACACCTTTTCCAACCATGAAAGCAAGAGTGATATAAAAAAAATTTTTTTAATCCATATTAGAAGGAAAATCTATTAAGGATCTAGTGAGTAAATGACGCTTTTGGAATGTTTAGAACTTTGAGGGGGCTACTAGCACACGTCTTCAGATCCCACTATATCATTTCCATAAGGATGAGGCAAAGCACTACCACTATTTGCAGAAGAGAGATTGCCGTGAAGTCAGTGGACACTACCTCCAGGTCAGAATCCAGCCTAAAGGCCTGTAATCAATGGTAAATGCTCTGAGGCACAAAATCCTAGGCTCCTCATCAGTCATGCTGTATCTATCCTCTGAATATTCTGACCTCACCAGAACCTAGTAGACCTATTTAAAGTTTCTCTAAAAATTTTGAAACTCTGCTTTATAGGAAACCAGAACTTTCATGTCAAGTGTTCCTGAGAACATTAATAACAAAAGCCAGAACAATTTTCTTAAAATCTGTGATCAAGTTTTATAAATATGAGACAAATAAATACTTCTGGACATCATTTAGATATTAAAATAACATGTATAAACTAGAAAAGGCAGCATTAAATTTGGATGTTTTTGACTTTATTTCTCAACTTTTTAAAGATTAAATCATGGGATTTTATTCTCTTCTATTCCCTCTAGGGAAAGCAATCTGACGATATTTTTCTGAAAGTTGCTAACAATGGAAGAAACTATTGAAAACAATTAGAGGAAAATTGCACCTTGAACTTAGTAGAAAGTGTACACCAACTCCCACAGGAAATCCCAGACATGATATTAAAAATTCTAGTCGTTTCATTTTCTCGCAGAACAGCACGTAGTTGTGTACTGAGTGTACCATGTAGGGGCACAGAGAGCATACAAAAGGCTTCTTTCGTTTATGAAATGGATTTGCACTGTGTTCGGAAGGTTTTCTTTCAATTGCCTCATCACAGTTTGTCCAAACTTCTCGTAGGCAGCAATGGGGCCTCTGTTTAAGCCTCTTGTGATCCCCAGCCAAGGCCATGTTGCTTTCCCTTAAGCATCAGAGCCCCTGGGATCCTGTTCTATCTGTTCTTTCCCCAGCCTCCTGTCTTTCAGCAGGGCAGGTGCCTCCCACAAGGAAAACAGATGCCAGGACTGTGGGGGACTCTTGAACGGCATCAGCCAAGCTGTGGGAGCTGAAAAGAGGAAGCTTTGCTCAGGGTAAGCGCCGTGGGATAATGTCTTTAATGTTAAGAGGACGCACACTGTGAATGCGGAAAGCCATCCAGGTTGAAAGAGGGAGTACACAGGCGGGGAGCGTTGCCAAGCGTTTGTGAGCACTCTCTTGGGTGGGCAGACAGCCGGCTTGCTCATGATTCTGCCTTTTCTGTTATTGGCCACAAGCCGCCAGTGAAATTTTGTGTCCTTAGGGCTTTGAGGCCTCTATTCAGATGGGGGTCCCGGAATAAGCTCATGAAGTTTTTGCCTAGTTCCCCCTGGGCTCCAAATCAGTGGTACAAATTCCTCAGTCTGACTTAATGCTTAGGGAAATGTCCTATTTTTGGACCCTTCATTTTAAAAAAGCATATATATTTACCAGTGCTATCTCCGCTACTTCTGAATAAACCTTAGACTTCAGGTCATGAGCCACTAGGAGTCTGAATATGTCCTTTATTTGGATTCAAATAAGATTTTAACTTCGTGGCACCATGGTTTCCTGAAGGTGCCAGTGTGAGACGTGGGTCATCAGACTGACCTGGTGCTGGGAAGCCACAGAACGGTGCAGTAAGGTCTCGCCGTCTTGGTTTCCACCTTGGAAACAATATCGTACCCCCTTTCTCATTTCACAGAATGCTCAAATTTAACATATGTTATAGTGTTTATTGACAATAAAAAGGCAGGATAGCAAAGTGGTTAAGGAATTACTGCACTCAACAACCATAACCTCCTGTCGTGCCAGGGATGGCAGCAAATGCCATGCACGGAGGTCAGTGTCAGCAAAGATCAGCTGGCGTGCCCAGAACACTGTGGGAACCAAGGGTCTGAGTTGTTAGGGCCGTCCACAGATATTCCACTCCTTCTACTCACATAATATGCTTGCATTCCCCATGTTTAACAATCTGAATTCAGGATTTGTTAATTCGGGTATGGTAAAGTGATAGACACAGACAGGAACAACTGCCTTTGAAATAAGAGCTTGTTTCTTACAGCTCCCAAGAAAAAGGAGCACTGGCATGCCACACAGGGCTGCCCAGGCAGCACCAGGATGGGGCGGGAGGCAGGAGTACAGGAAGCATGGACCGAAGCCTCCATGACCACAGAGGGGAGAAGTCACAAAGCAGGGATAGCCCTTATTCGGCAGGAAACAAATCACAGATTTGTTTGTGGCTGGAGGGTTTGTGCTATGATTTTTATGCTACCTCAAAGCAGGACTGAAGGGTGATGGAGACACCTTTGGTCATTAGTTACTGTTCATGCAAGTCGGGCAGGAATCACGAGTGGAAGTGGCGTGCGTCACCTCCTGCAAAGGACAGTACAGGGGACACCACACTCCCTTCGCCTGCCACAGTGGCCAGGAAAGCACCTCCATCAGCGCATTCCTGAGTGACTACCTGGGTGGCCTGACGGGTCTGGAGTCTCTCAAGGCTCTGCTGGCATCTCATCTGCGAACATCCCACTGGCAACAGCAAATCTCATGGTGGGATGGTTAATTGTATGTGTCAACTTGACTGGGACACAGGGTGCCCAGAAATTTGGTTCAACATTATTCTGGGTCTGTCTGGAGGGTGACTCCAAATGAGATTAGCATTTATGTTGGCAGACTGAGCACAGCAGCTTGTCCCACTGATGTGGGTGGGCCTCAGCCAATCAGCTGGAGGCCTGAACACAGCAAGTCAGGGGGACTCTGCTTGACTGCTGTGAACCGGGGCATTGGGTTTTGTGTTTTGTGTTTCTGCCTGTGGACCTGAACGGAAACATCAGAATTTCTCTTAGAATCCCACTAGCATTTGGACTAGAATTAGTCCATCAGCTTTCCTACGTCTGCAGTTTGCAAATGCATATCATGAGACTTTTGTTTTCATGATCACATAAGCCAATTTCTTATGGTATATATTTATAAAATAATATTATGGGCCGTGCGCAGTGGCTCACACCTATAGTCCCAGCACTTTGGGAGGCCGAGGCTGGCAGATTACAAGGACAAGAGATTGAGACCATCCTGGCCAACATGGTGAAACCCCATCTCCACTAAAAATATAAAACAATTAGCTGGGCATGGTGGCATGCACCTGTAGTCACAGCTACTTGGGAGGCTGAGGCAGGAGAATTGCTTGAACCCAGGAGGGAGAGGTTGCAGTGAGCCGAGATCGTGCCACTGCACTCCAGCCTGGTGACAGAGCAAGACTCTGTCTCAAAGAAAGAAAGAAATAAAAATAATATTATGAACATTATTATATATATATACACACGTATCCTATTGTTTCTGTTTTTCTGGAGAACCTTGACTAATTCACAGGGCTAAGCCCAGTGTCAAACTGGGAGACCTCTGTAAAACTACATGGCAAAGGCTGGAGAAAAAAGAAAGAGTAAAGATTTGGGGTCACATTTGCAATCTACCACAGATGGCAAGACGACAGAACTGTTTTTCCCGATATCTGGATATCTGTTTCCAGCCACCCAAAGCTTCCTAAAGATGTGGAAATGCTGTGGCTGCTGCAGCCGTGGGCAGAGGAGTGGTCAGGCCGGGAAGAGGCGGTGCCCAGGTCACCTTTCCCATCCCCAGGATGGCTGGTGGCCACCTGTGCTGCGTGCATTGGAAGTTCTCACCTGCCTCATGGGTGTCTGAATCTGAGGGAGGCAGCACATAACTAACCACTATTGGGAATTTTAGAATATATTTTTAGTTCTCTGGAAATGTCTCCCTCATTACTGTTTATTATTCAACTTTGAAACACGTGTAGGAATCCGCTGTGTGTGGAAGTAAGAAACTGCCCATAACCAATCCTTTTCACACCAACAATGTCTCGCTCAAACTAATATAAGCCAGGCTCTTAATGTTCTTGTTATAGAAGAATAACTCGGCAAGGTAAATAAAGCTGATATTAAAAATCCAATTTTACATGTGAGAAGACATAGAGACATTAAATGGTTTCCCTGTGCCTGAAAACTCATTAACTGCAGAAATATTGAAGGACGGCAGGGCTCCTGACTCTGGTCAGGATGCATTATGGAGCCACTCACAGAATCATTCCGAGATGGAGAGCCAGAATTCTGGAGAACAGCCAAGGCTCCTGCAGCACGTCTGTGCAACGAGAGCACAAGCAACCCTTCCAGAGAACCGAGTCAGGCATTGGGTCAGCAGATGCTCACGGAGCACTTTCTCCTTTCTCTGTGCCGGGCACGGTGCTGTTATGGAGATGCAGGGGTGGGCAAAACCAGACCCCATACCTGCCCTTAGGAGCATATTCTGTAAGGGGGCTGGAGGGTGTAGACATGAATCCAATATTTGCATGCACAAGTAGAACCACACAACCCATGCGTACAGTGAGGAGGAGGCCCTTGGTGCTGTGAGGACCCACAACAGCAGGCCCCGGGCTGGGCAGAGGGCAGGGAGAGCTTTCCTGGGGAGCAGTGCTTGAAATAGGATGTAAAGAAGGGGTTGGGGTTATTGAGATAAATAGAAGAAACAGTGTTCCGGGTTGGAGGGTTTAGAACGTGCAAAGGCCTTGTACCTGGGAAAAAGGAAAGACGAGTGGAAGGAAAAGCAGTGTGGCTGAAGCACAGTGGCTCACGAAAGACGAGACTGGATAGAATAGCATCCGGTCCTCTTGGGCCTGGAGGACATCTTCAGACATTTCTGCCTCATCCAAAGAGAAATGGCAAGACATGGAAGATTAAAAGCCAGGATCTGTCCTCCAGACCAGGAGGCCTCAGCCAGCTGCCCACCCAGAACCAAGTGTGCTGCTTTGTGGGCAGCTCACTCCAAGTGTGCACACTTGTTTTCACTTTGGCCACAAAACTTAGACACTTCACTAAAGTATTCCTACTCCATGCGTAGCAACGAGAAACCTTCCCTATACCATTCTTACCCTTTTGAAATGATACCAGATGCCAAGACACACGACAGGAGTAGGGCAAAGAGGTTGAGCTTCAGGGGCAGATTTAGTCTAAGTGTCAGCTGTACCACAAGTTGTGACAATAAGCACCTCACCAGGCTCTTCTTATTTTAACCCCTCTTCCGTGCAATGAGGCAGCTTGACTCTGGGGCTGGAAATAGTTCTTTCCTCAAGGTGGAGGCAAACGGGGTATCGGACAAGCTGATAATCCCTGAAATCCAAATTGTAATTCGTACAGTCCTTCTCTGGTCATTGAGACAAGTTTTTCATGTGAGCTTAGCTTCTGTTTAGCATTTTAACTGTGGGAGAGGAAGAGTCCTTGAAAGTCATGTGACTCATTGGTAAAACAAGAAAATGCTGATGAAATATGAGAAACATCGAAAGAAATTAAAAGACATTAAAAATCTATTGTGCATCCTGCACTCTAAAGTCATTTTTAAATGGTAATTACACCTTTGAAGAGCATCTGATTAGTATAAAAAGAACTTTGGGTGAATGTGAAGCTCTTCATCTGATTTCAGTTGATACACGGTGATGATATTCAAGACCAATTTCTGCAGCTTTTACCGCCTGACTGAGCGTTGCTCTGTTTTGAAGTTTAAAGGGAGTTTCTAATCTTTGGCTTACCAGAGGCTGAGCAAAGACCTGTCATGGTTTATGGAGGTAAAAGAAGGGAGGTAAAAGTATTTTTAAGTGCCCTGTGGAAAGTGCTGTCAAGTTCAGGCTACGTCAAGCTTATGCTTTGTGGTGAAACAAGGATCTAAGACACAAACTCCTGAAAAGAAAGATTCTAGTCCTTTTTTGTCTGGGCCACTCAGGAGCATCGAGACTGACACACTGGGTAAGACCCCTGTTCTCCATCCCCGTCATCAGTAACATACCACTCTTAGTGCTCCCTGTGTGCCTGGCGTTGTGGTAAGTGCTGTTTCAGTTAAATGTTAGCACTGTGAAATGGTTTCAGACAAAGGGATTTGTGGTCACTCTCAAGTAAATGCCCGAATGGTCTAACTAGCTTATTAAGCAGGATCACTCATTAAAATCTATTAGATTTGCATAAAACGCACTCTGCAGTACTGCTCTCACAGACACAATGGCAACAGCCCTTTGAACTAAGGCCGTAAGTTTCGTTAATGGGTTACATCAAAATTTTAATGGCCCAGAACTGGGCCACTAGGTTTACTACCTAGACAGATGTGCTGAACGCTGCTAATGGAAGATTGTACGGTACCGGCTGTTTGATGCCCTTCCGTTAAATTCTGTAATGGATACAGATGCCGTTGGTTAACATCTTTTATTTCCTCCTTAACAAAAAGGGTTTTATAATAAGCAAGTCAACTATTTTTCTTCCGCAAGGACTTCAAGTGAATTTCTGGCCTCCTCTCCCACCCTCCCTCTGTCTTCTCCATAAACGCCGCACTGGCCTCCCTGATGCTCCTGGAAAATGCCAGGCTCCTCAGGGCCTTTGTTTTTGTGCAGCCTCTGCTGGAGCATTGTGTATGTCTGGGTTCTTGAAGCAGCAAACACCG